TAAATTGACCATGGAGCCCTGCGCATCCACAAATGACACTAGAAGGATATCTACAGCATAAGATTTGGAAGTGGAGGACCAAGCTGCATTATTTGATGAGTTTGGAGTGAGAACGTGTTAGAAATTACAAACATCCATCCACCTGTTATTTATAAGACAGTATCAAGATTGTATTTGTTTTGGTCATTTGTCAGACAACAACCATCAACAATGTCAAACTAATTCAGCCTTTGATTTTCTAATCATTATTTGCACAGGAAAAGTTTTTTAACAAACAACTGATAAAGTAGTTCTTCTAGTGAAGCCAGTCTCATTCATATTCAACAGCCCTTAATGAGTTATTTGTATGATTAAGAGTGCCTCTAATGGTTTTGCTACATGCCAGACATCCGATGTCAAGTTGTCATGAGACTCTGCAGATGTCATGTCAGAAAAACTGGATGGATGGACTCTGACTTGCAGTTTAAAAATCGCAATCCCCTACAAAGCAGTTAACGGTAAACCTTTCTTTAGTGACTATTAATGATGTTGTGTTAATGGCAGTCTGATTATGTCCATTTAGGTGAATCACAGAGTGGTGAAAATGTTCACTGTGTGAATGTTGCCACGTGTGTAATTCCTCACTGGTTTCACTGCCAGAAAATATTAATCAACCCTAAACACCTAGATTAATACCTTTCATTGGAAACTAGTCCATGATATATTCAAATCGCATCTGGTCTGGTTTTGTTTCTGGAGATTATTTCTGAAAAGATAAATTGAGTTAATTGTTGGGTGTGATTTGGATACCTATAAAGCGTATTAACTGTGCTGCGTATTATCTGATATAGCGCAACAAAAGATTTGGCATCCCCCGACACCACCACTTACAGGACAAATTCTCACTAAACGAGTCAGAGTGACTCTCAGCCTCCATACAGTGCTGAAAAAATAAAGAATGGAGTTTAAGAATCATTTAGCACATTCCCCAGTTTCCCTCCAAATTTGGTGATGTACCCTGATGTCACCAGTGATATGGTTTTAAAACTATTAGCTCATGCTTCGAAAAGCAGAAACTCCAAAACTACACTCTTTACTCCTGCCAAGCATTGTCCAAATTTAGAGTTATTTATTTTCTAGTTTTCCTCCTGACATGTTTTAAGACAAATAAACAAATAGTCTGCTTGGAACCTTTAACGTGTGTCTGATATGTTATTTCCAAATTAAAATCCCTTACTCCTTCTACCTCATTAAAAATTCCAGAATCTCTGAATATAAAGTTGTACAACTTGCCACAAGATGTCTCCTACTTCACTGTAAAGTCAATTCTCAGTGTTGGTAGCTTCAAGTTTCTCACTGGACCAAGGGTACATTTAAAGGTAGAGATATCTGCTGTATTTAGCAAAAATCGTATTGGATTGGAAACACTGATTGCACCTTTAAATCCAGAGTTAAATAGAAGTGTATAAATGCAGGTATAGGTATCAGTTAGCATACCAAACTATATTGTTCATACCTACATGAATCTTGCACAGCACCACCGCCAGCTAGGAATTCTAGCAGTGGTTGACAAACGTGATCACACTAAGAATACTTAGTTTCTTCCAGTTTTCTGTCAGTCCTCTCACTTCTATGCATCAGAAATAAGAATTCCTACATATGACTTGGAAAAGTAAAATAACTTTTAAGTCTAATGCACTGTTCTCTCACTCTTTGAGGTACAGATGCAAGCGGAACAAAGGCTAGCTACAGCAGGAAAGACTTTCACTAAATGTACACAGTTCTGTCACAGTTTCAGTGTCCACTGGAAATGTTCCAGGAGTAGAGCATCGCCCCAGACCCAGGAACATCTCTGCCAGCCGTAACACAACCAGAACACAACACAGGCAGATCCTGTGTCACGCAAGAATGATGTATTATCCCCTTTCCATCTTCAACAACAAACAATTGCAGTATCAGATATGCTACTTTCATCAACCTTGAGGCAACTGTCCTGGAAATTCCAGAAAATTATTTTCACTTGCAAGTGGACTATGTCAACCTTCTACAAGGTATCAGTCTGACAGAACCCCAAGCACTTAGTCAGAAAACCGCATAACTGGTGCATTCACCATGACAACAACCTATAACATTTCATCTCTAGTCCACTACTCTTTTGACAAGTACCTAGCTTTATCTTGATATATAGAATGCAATAATGAAAAGAGAAAACCTCCCATGGCTGTTGTGATATCTTGTGCATCAGTTCACTGGAAGGGCAGTGAAGTCATGCATCGGTTCAAGGGAAGGGCAGTGATGCAACAGAAAGGAGCATGTCAGGTGTGTCTCCAGTCAGCACTTTACTATTTCAGGAAAACCAAAGTCTTGTACTTAAAGAAGATCAAAGATTTCCAACCTTTCAGCACAGCAACCACAAACTAGTTCAAAAGTGATGGTGTTGTTGTACCCACCTCCAGTAGACGAGCACAGCCAGCAGGACAACGAGGCAGAGGAAAGTAAGAGCTGAAACCACCACCAGAGGTACCAGCCACTCTACGCGGCCCAGCCCCGCTCCCGACCCAGGCCTCATCTGGTGGGTCAGGTTGGTCACGGCACTGGGGCGATCTGGAAGAAGAAGAGGGAGAAACCAATGAGGGAAAGAAATGAAGTCCACAGGCAGAGGCCACAGGGGGAGAGGCAGAGTGAGGACATGACTGAGAAAAAGGCACCTACATGTGGTTGGTGCTGTCTCACAAGCTGCATTTACAGTATGTATGTGACGAGAGATCTGGCAAATGCCTGAAAACATGCAAAATTGCAAAGGGCAGATATAAACATTACTAAATGGAACATTGCTTTTAGGATATACTAAAATGTAATCCTAAAAAACAAACCAAATTATGTCCCATCCTCTTTAAAGGAACTGGTTGCTAAAGGAGCAATTAGAAATATATCAAGAGTTATTTATTATTTATTATTATTAGAACAGCCGGTATAGCTGTTTTAATCTCAAATCTCAATCTCAGTCTCTGGGCATTTTTCTTTTTCTATTTTTCAAAGGTGTATCTATCTATATAGGAAGACAATATTCTCATTCTTAAACCTGGCTACAAGGCTGTGATTGGTCTGTTGTTTCTCAAACTGGTGGTAATAAAGCATGCAATGTTCACACTGGAAAACTTTAAATCATCCTACTCGCTGCTGTATACAATTGTCCAACAATACAATTCATATAAGAAATAAGGAGCTAACTGGAAAAACATTAAAAAAAATTGTGATAATGGTGAGACAGACTCAAAAGTATGAAATCTGTTGAAAAAAATTTTGCTTTTTTGATTAGTAGAAGCGTTCCAAGGTTTGATTGACATCTGTTGGAACATGTCTCATTTTATTTCCTGCTTGTGTTCAGTACAGGATCTGTGTATAGTGTGGAATTGGGATACAGATTATTCGCTAAGATAGCCTAAACACCTCCTGGACCTACTGTATCTCTGTATGGGGAACTCATAATGAAACAGTTCAATATCTCATGGGTAAGTTAGCAACAAGCATATTTCTCAAAACATGAGGTTGTATTTTTAATTTCTTCTGACTGAAAAACTGAAGGTGCTGTAGCAAACACAAAGCAAATAAATCAACATGAACACAGATCCGTACAGACGGCCATTTCCCAGCTGACGTTGTTCCTCTTCTGAGCCATGCACATTCTGCACACTCTTTGAGGAAGTGCGGCCAGATAACTGCATTAAAGCACACACACAGCTCCGGATAATTTGAGTCATTTGTTAAATCAAATTAGCTTTTTCTGTCCACCACCACCACCACCACCACCACCTACCCAGTTCAGCTGCTGCAGCCGTGACGTTGCTTGAGCTGATGCCGGCCCCCATGGCCTTCAATCTGCAGCTTGCCTGGAGCCGAATGCTACGTTAGGCCAGGCCCCTGCACTGCACCACAGCTGGCTCGCATCGCCACTAACTAACTCTGCATCTCCTTCCTTACATCTAAACACACACACACACACACACACACACACACACACACACACACACACACACAGACACACTGTACACAGAGAAACCCAGAGATGCTGCCTGCCTCTGTTCCTTTATCTTTGCCTTCTGCTTTTCTCTTACGATTACAGTGGTCTGCCAAAAATAAATAAATAAACCCTTGCCATCAGCACGCGAACATAACACACACACACACACACACACACACACACACACACACACACACACACACACACACACACAGCCAGTCAGTAATGTGCAGTGAGATGCATACTGTACAGGCACAAACACACTGAACACACACCGTACACACGCATGCAACTATAAATGGAGCAGAGGCTTTTTTCCCCTCCCCTGTAGCTGAGTCTAGCCTGCAAGCCTCATCTCCTCTCACCATGTCTGAAAGTAGGCCAACACTCAGATCAGAGCAAGAAGAGAGTGAGAGGCAGAGAGAGGATGATGAGGTACTGGAGGAGTGAGAGCAAGAGGGGCGGGGTGTGGGTCAGTCAGTTCCACAGGCTGCTGAGTCAGGGTCCCCACTGTGTGGCCCTAATAAAACTGTGTGTCTTCCGCCTCGTCTTTCCACTTTCACACTACTTCTACAATGTTACTGAGGTAGACTGAAGGTTATAAACAAGCTCACAATTTAACAGTGCTGGAAAAGTACAAGTATAAAAGTTTACTGACGTAAAAGGATGCAAGTATTATCAGAAAGTAAAAATACTCATTATACACAATGGCCCCTTTTAGATGGTTATGTTTTATGTCGCAATATTATTACATATTCACTCATGTAATCAGCATTTTAATCTTTCTGGTCGAAGTCAAACTCATGTTGATTATTTTTTATGTGAAATCGTAATCTGCAAAGTAAACTAACTCATGCCATCGAATGAATGAAGTGCAGTAAAAAGTACAATATTGCTCTAAATACAAGCAGCCTACCTCAGAACCACTGTAACTACCAACCATCTGATGTACCTGTATGAGGCCCGGCAGCTTTTACCTGACATTGACCTTGCTTAGCGTACTTTTCAACACATGCAGTTTTACAATAAAACAGGAGATTGTAACAGACATTTATAGTGTATTTACTTTCATTCTTATATCCAAATAAATGTTTATCATCTAACTTGGTTTTAACTGTCTGGTCATCTGACTGCTCATGTTGCTAGTCCAGTTGTACACAGTCCAGTATATAGCTAGTGGAAATAGCTTCTGGGTCTCTGACGTGAACCCAACAAAGAAGTGTATTAAACTTGCATTCTTTCTGAAGGCCAGCAGGGGGAGCTCCATCAGCTGCAAAAAAGAAATCTGATAGAACAGATCCTTATGAAGAAATAAGCTGACTTCTCACTTGATTTATTAGTTCAGGAAACGGGTTACTAATCAGGTCTCAATCTCTAGTTTCAGTCTTCTTTCATACAGCATGATGTTCATTTAGTAAATTATGGTCCCATATAGAGTAAAATAGACCATAACCAGGTGTGGCTACCTTTTTATCAGAACCAGCATTAACTGTGTCAGCAGTTTTAGCTACAGTGGCTTGTGTGTTGGATCAGAGCACATGGGCCAGCCTTCACTCCCTACGTGCATCTGTGAGTCTGGGCATTACATTAGAATTTTACTAACTCTTACACTTAACACCAAAGCAGCATTTCAACCACCAACTGTTTCTTCTGTCTAGTTATTTGTACATTACATTACATATGAAAACTAACATAAAATATTGTTTGCATATAAAAATGAGCATAAAATCTTTTTGCTTGCTTCATGTTTCACAGAACCTTATTCCACAATGCATTTTCTTTATTTCAAACTGTAAGCTAGCATTTATTGCAGCTAGCAATCATATGTTAACCTCTTCATAAAATTGGCCAGCAGCCTACAGTTTGTTCAGGTTAGGAGTCTTCCTATCAATGACAAAACAAACTGAAGTTAGAAAGGTATTGAATCAAAACTGTCAAGTATACCACGTAATGGATTTAACATTATTTGGCCTTTATGTAATAAAGTTCACACAGTAATTACAGCTGGTTGAGAGTTATATTTATTTATTACTCACACTCATATAGACTTCCAAAGAATAGATGACCAAAATGGAGCTAGAGGCATTTGTTATGAGATTAATTAAAGTCTTTGCCTTGAAAACTGGGATTTGTAGTTGTCTGTAGCTCATAGGCAGAAGATGCTTTCTCGAGTACTGAAAGCATGCACTCAGCATAAAAAACACTTCCCACAACAGAGGCTCTGAGCAGAATGTATACAGTTACCACTTTCACAAGGTTTTACAACAAGTTTTAAGTTTTTGCCCTTGAGTCCCTCCAGCTCAAACAGAATAACATTTCTCAAATGTGCTTTGACAAAGAGATTGAGAAAACCATTTCCGGGGATTATCAGAAGATTGCTTTTGTTCATAACAATGTCTGGTCTTGCGCTTAGATTGTTTCAAAGCACTTGGAATTGAATTGATGTCCCATGGTGTTGGCTTGGCTAATGCAGTGCCCTGCTGAAAGTCCTGGCTGGGGGGGGATAACATTAGGTCTGCTCTCAACAACTCCAGCTAGAACTCTGTTAACACTTTACTCTACATCAATGCAATTCATCCACTCTGAATTATTGCAATTCATCACCACTTACTGCAAGACCTTTGGATATATAAGCCTTTAAGCAACAGCTCAGTTCCGTTTCTTACCCAGCATACAACACACTCAACTCTCAACTATCCAGCTATATTTTGCTCATGCAATGGAGTTGTGTAATCAGGATACAAAAAAATGAGATTACAGCTAAATTGAGTAAAATTGGGGATTTTTAGCATGATTACAATTTTAAAATACATTTCAAACTAAATAATGATATACTACCATGATATACTGCACAGTGCACACATTGCAACAATTAACCAGTCTCATTCATTATCGTGTCCTCTACTGCATGGAAATGCAATTTGTCTTTAAAGCAGAAACGGAACAACATCACACTACTGCCTTCTAGCTGTGAAAATCATCTGTGAGCGACTGTCTGAATTTGCTTCATAAAGAGCAAGTTTTTCTTTTAAAATACACTGAGCAGAGAACACATTTTTGATGCTACAAACCATGGTTTTGTCATTGTATTGACATTTCTTTTCTCTTGCCTTGATTTGCATATTTGGTATAGAGATAATCCAAAAGCAGCAGGAAGTAAATAAGTTACATTACTTTATTGTGATACTGCATTAGATTACTGGCTACATTTTATAATAGGTAATTAGCAACTGTATCAGATTACATTTTTAGTAATTATAAGCTGTTGACCTTTATTTAATAAATGTGTTCTGTATGGTCATTTCACAGAAAGGTCCAGTGTGTAGGATTCAGTGGCATCTAGCATTGTAGTTGCAGATTGCAACTCACTCGCTGCACCCTCTCTTTCCAAACATGAGGGGGAAACTACAGTGTCAGTGAAACATGCAAACAACTGCCCTGCAGTCAGTGTTTTGTTTGTCTGTTCTGGGCTACTGTAGAAACATGGTTCCACTTGGCAGCCTCCAAGGAAGTCAAACTGTGATGTCAGTAGATACAAATTTCTCATTCTAAGGTATCAAAAACAGAACAATTCCTATATTCATGTGATTATAATGAAAACATACCTATGAATATTATATTCTATTTCTGCCAATAGATCCTCCTAAATGTTACACACTGGACCTTTAACACTGAGTTATGGACATTTTTTTGTGGACACCCATTAAATACTTTACATTCAGACCACAGTGAACTAGTAACTGGAGAAAGGAAATATTATTAGGTAAGTTATGGTAAGTTAGGTTAGGTTGTTATCTATTTGTTGATTAAGGTTTGGCCCTTTGGCTTGAATACTCTATGTTTACCTTATCTTTATTCTCCATGAAACTTTACTCACACTCTCTAATGAAAGAAGAAACGGCAAGATTAAATTTAGGCTCAGTGAGGTTATTATTTGCTGAGCGCCATATGCATTACTAGAACCAGCTGACACATTAGATTTTTTCCCCATCCTTCTTTATCTTAATCTTAAAAAGAAATGCTTAACCATTGATCTCACACCTCCAAGGAATGAGAGGATGAAATTGTGATCAAAGCAGCCACTCTTCTATATCTTCCTGTTACTTTCCACTGAACTGAGATAGAAGCAACAGTTGCAGAGCAGGGTATTTCTCTTAGTGTAACTAGCCAAGACAGAGAGCACATAGGCCTGCCTCTCCTGCTGCAGTTATCTTTCACATTGTTGCCTTGGACACTATTTGTCCGTGAGTATTGTTGATTTATAAGTTTTCAATGTCATATCTATCATATATTTGCTCTGTATACATTTTATTTCTGATCCGGTCAAGAGATTGCTTAATTGATTGCTATCATAGCTGTAGTAGTAGTTAGCCCTCTGTGATGCAGCATTTGTTATGTTATGTACACTGTGTTGTGTAATAGTGTAATAGTACTGCTAAAATTTTGATTTATGTTTGTATTTTGTGTTTTTGCAGTTTTACAGATAAAGAATAATCATGGCTCCTTATTAAACCTACAAGAAAAGTTACGCCTTGTGTTTATTGGAGGACTACAATGGTCTGTTAACTAACTGTCTAGCAGTGGATTAGGACTACTCCTTACGAGGGCAGTATAGTGTGACATTTAATTTAAAGAGAAGGTATAGGTCCCTATGTGCCCAGTTAAGAACTAGTACCCTACCACTAGCAAACCAAACAATATTGGAGAGAAATGTACAAACATAAGATCCCAACATATACTGGACGTGATTCAGAGAATAACTAATGTCTAAATATGGCTCTGTTTATATTACGTCAGTTGACTCCTTTGATAAAAACGGTAATTTTATGTCACAGAACAGAGAATGCTGGTCTACTGCTGTTATTGTGTAAAGTTTTAACATGTTAATTTGGATCCAAACTAACATTAGTTGCTGTGCACTGAGGCAGCAGCAGATCATAAACTCCCCTGTTCTGCGAAGTAGAATGACCGTTTTTGTGAAAGGAATCTGGTGGCTTTGGAGAGAGCATAGCTAGATATACTGTAACAGTCTAGTTCTCCATTAGAAAGCGTAAAGGTGGTAGAGGTGAAAAATATTCTAAATTTAGCACAAACTTTTTAAAAATAGGCCATGTTCTGCTGCTGCCTCGTCCCACAGAAGTACTCTCAATCAGTTTTCTTCTGGCATTGTTCAGTCAGAAACGTGGTGACGTGACGTCACATGCAAACAAGCTATTGAGGTAGGCAGATATAAAGGTGATTCATGAAGATGTTTTTGTCATGGAAATTGAATTTGTAGAACTGTATATTATGATTTGCATGTGGTCATCATGTGGAACCAACATGTTTCTAAAGTAGACCGGAATGGACAAACCAAACACTGGCTCTAGATAGGGGGATTCACACTTTTTGTCTGTTTTGCAGCTACCATAATATCTCCTTTGCACTTAGAAGGGGAAGATGAAGCGAAGGAGTTGCAATCTGCAACTACACCAATAGATGCCACTAAATCTTTCACAGGGACTTTTGATTCTGCTACTGGATCTAAATCAATCAATCAGTTGACTCACCAGTATGAACGGAGAAGGGCCAATTCTTCTTGTGCCCCTCTGTTCTAGGTCTGTGTGTTGCTGTTGGGTCCTTGGGAAAAGGAAATACTGCCGTTTCATTGGTTGTCTCTGTGGTGGTAGTTGGGTTGGAGTCAAGTGGATTATGGGTATACAGTTGGTCTTCTACACCAGACGGCAAGTTAGTCGGATCTGGTTCAGTCTGTTTTTTCTCCTTTGCAGTGGCATCCGGTGTCTCGCGAGGTTGCTCATTCATCACTGTGCTGCTGTCCTTCCTCCTTGCCCCTACGACACCTCCTGAACCCTTCTTCTCCTTCTTCTCCTCTTTCTCTTCTTCTTCTTCCTCTTCATCCTTATCCTCTCCTTCTCTCTCTGCGTCCTCTCCTTGACCCTTGCTGTTCTCTCTGTCCTCACCCCCAGATTTACCATTGTCTTTGGCTGTGGCCGTCACAACAGCAGAGGCGGAGGTGGTTGCGTCTTTGGCAGGCTTGGTGGGTTCGGTGGTCTGGCGTGTGAAGGTGGGATTATGGGTAGGTGCTCTGCTTGGCCAAACAGAGCTGGGGAAGGAGGAGATGACACCACCGCTGAAGCCCAGGCCGGCCAGTAAAGTGCTCGTCACCACAGACGCCACTGTTGCCTGACTACCGCTGGAGGATGGACCAATGCCAGTCGCCATGGAGACGAAGGAGAAGGGGATGCCTGAGGAGGTCCAGGTAGATGAGCCAGAGGAGATAGGAGCCATGTCGGCTGAGGAGGCTGGAGACACTGTAGGCTGAGAAAGAAACAATTTACTGATTTGAATTTAAATTTTCCCTGCTCAGGCAATGTGGAATTATTGACTAAGGAGTTTAACCCCTCAAGGTATATTTAAAGGTTAATTCCCCAGTCACCAGATGAATAACGGTATAAGAAAGAAAAGAGTACACATGATTATATTAATTTTCTCTGACTGAAACTGCAAACTCTAAGTTTAGCGTTTATTGGGGATAGTAAGATCCTGCATTTTGCACTGGTTCAAAGTTCAAGATGTGATTGCCCCCATTAAAAAAAGAAAACATCTGATATAATTTGGGATGAACACAGGATGCATTGTTTCTAACATCTTTGCATCAGTAAAAATATTTATCAAACTACCTGTATCTGTATTCTTTAGCAATATATCGTGTTAAATCAAATTGTCTTGAATCGCTGTGCATCGCAATAGAGGTGAATTGTATTGTATCACATTGGTAGTTGCTTTATATGTGTCTATGTGTCTTTAACCTATCGGATTGTTGGCAATGCATCAAAATGCATATCATATCAGCCTTGCGTCACATCCTAGCATTTATCTCATGAAATACTGGATAATTTAACCCTTTTGGTGACCTATAAAATTACAATCTGGGAAGGAAAACTCTACACTCAGGACATTGGGATTGTGATTTTTATCTTAATGGAATAATATCAGCATGCTTCCATCAAAGTACTTGTTGCATTGTCAAACTGGATAGGAAATTGCTTTCCCCACCTTTATGATATACATATATCTGACAACTTTTAGGATTTTTTGAAACCGTCACACGAGAAGGTTTGAACAATTCAAAACAAAGTTTTATTTTTTCATTCTTCACACAAGTACTTCTATAATCAGTCTTGTGTCTGAATGCAATACCTTGAATACCTCAAAACCATTTTATAATTTCAAGATTAATAGATTGATTTGAAATGTGCATGGAATAAGAGATAAAACAACAAATCTGATCATTTACGGACCAAGTCTTAAGGATAGTTATATAACTTTTTCTTTGGAGCATACTGAAGCATTAAGGTGTCACAGGTCACAATGGTTTGGAACCACTGATGTAGGTAATAGAATAATTTGATCTCAAACATTTTATTTTATATATTTACTTGTTTGTTTGATTCATATGAAATGTACAAATTAGATATGATATGATAAGATACGGTACTGTATACAGATCTGGATACAGATTCATGAACTTGTCTACCATTGTATCCTCCAGGATACAGGTCCTTTTTGTCCAGAATGTTGCCTGTGTGCATTGGCCTGCTCTAACATCAATGTTTATGTATTTTCACTTTATTGTAGGTATATGTATGTACCCCTTGACAAAGTAAAGGAAGATTAAGGCATAAAATTATCCTCAAGTTATTTGATTTGATGACATTCCTGTCCACACAGGGAAGAATGATGATAATAGAGACACTGCTCTCTGCTGGATAAAATGTGGAAAGACAATAGTAGTGATTCACCTCTGCTTCCCTTACCATTCCAGTTTTCACAATCCTTGTGCCCTCAAAGATCCTGGTGGTGTTTGCTGAAATGCAGGAGAGAGAAAAAACAGGATAATCCACCAGTTAAACACAGGAGAGATCAGGCAACACTTCACTTGAAGCAGCGTCTATAAGACATCCATGAGTGCATTGTAAGCACATTAATCACAACGTGACAGAGTGTAAATGCAAGGCACTACTTAATGAGGCAGCCAAAAAACTGAATGTACTTAGATGAAATAAATGTATCTCACTGCATTTGAGCAGCTTGCTCTTAATTTTTTTTCTTTCCTTTCCTCTGTTATTCTTCCTTTAGCCTGCAGCTGTTGATCTGAACTCACATAAATGTGAATATGAAAGATTTGATATTATGATCACAGGAATCATAACTGTCAGATAATACTGTTTGCACAAATGTAAGACAATATGTGTGTCTTGTTGACAGAGGGCTGTGTACATGAATGAGATAGGTGCTGATGCTCATGTCGACCTTTATGATGACATTAGAGATAATGTGGCAGCAATGCGTGAGCACTTGAGGTCTAGGAGGTGTGTGTGTGTGTGTTACCTCTGAACAGCATGCTCTGGCTGAAGTCACTGCGCATGTCATTCATGCAGACGGCCTGGACTCGAAACAGGTACAGCACATCGGGGGAGACGGGAGAAATAACGGCCTCCTAGACGACACACCAAACATACACACAAACTTAATCAGTATAGTCTTAATAATTTTGTATCATGACTTTTTCTCACACATACATTTATTGACATTTTGTTTTGTTTTCACATCGATGAATGTACAAACATATCCCCTCGTGACCTTGTCTATCCCTGTCCATATTCTTTACATATAGCTAATTAAAAATAAGGATAAATATGAACGATCATAACATATATATAGATTATTTAAAAATTCAAGAAAATAAGTACATTAGTATTAAAAATAATAAAATAAAATAATTAGAAATACAAGAATAAATCATGTTATAAATGTATTAAATGATTATAAAAGACATCTTACATGTATGGTGTAAGTGCTGAGAGTGAGTTACAAAGCTAGACACTCCTAAGTAATGGTGAAGTCGATGCTAGAGGCTCAGTAACGGCTTGTTAGTTTGTAACAGGCACTAAACTTGGTTTCACCATCATTACTTGGAGCGTTATGTAACTAGTTTTGACGTAAAATCATGGCCAATCAACTATCAAGATAGAGTTTGATCACCATTATTACCATGCACATTAGTTTTCTGGGTTGCACTTAGCGTCGTAGCACATTGTAGTAAGCTAGATCGAAATTGAAATATATCAATAAATTAGGTCTCTACTTGATTACTGTGTTGCAAAATGTTTTCAATTAATGAATAAAATGAATACATGAAAAACTACCGTTTTAACATCAGTGAGTATGATTCTGATTGTGAATACTTCAGGGAATGTGTAACTGTGTAGTTGTTACGGAGAGTTAGGTTGTAACTTGTCTCTGTGGTGCAACTGCTTTGATTTTAGTTATTCATAAATCACAACTTTGTAAAAAATTTACATTAGAACTAGGCTAAGTATGAACTTACACAGAGTTGGTACAACTGGGATACAGAAGAAGCTTTACGTGATGTGGCAAAATCTTTCATTTTAATATGTCAATCTCCCTCCTAGTTGTTTTCCAAGAAATGTAGGAAAACTGTCACATATTTTTATCTTGCTTTGAAAGCAATGGTTAATTTCTCTAAGGCAAGACACTGAGAGAAGTTTTTCAACCACTGACTCATATAAAATCTTTCTAGGTTCTAGCTTGAGAAGGAGAGAAAGTAATGATTTTTTTCTCTCTGTTATTAAGCCTTGAAATCTCAGAGAACAGACCAAGAATAGACTGTTCTGGACATTCTGGTAGTTTGACTCTTTATTACTTGTGATAATGTACAAAGTCAAAATTATTTGATCCTTTGGCAATCCCATAAACACTGAATCAGTGTGCCCTTATCATATTTTGGTCACATTGGTCTAGATTATTGGTGTCAAAATGATGTAAAAGGGATGGGGTTACATAAGTATGCATTATCGATTGGTACCGTAGGAGTCTAAATCTGGTGTTATTAGTTTGAACCTGGACTTCATAGTATGCCCTCTCCCATTCATATTTTCTTATCTCTCTATCTGTCACTACACTAAGCAAGTCTCCTATTCTCTTAGGACTTACTGATTTAAATTCAAGTAGGTCATAGATAAAGACACTTGAACATGACCGCCAGAGAGATCACTATCACCTTTTCCAACATGGAAAGAGGTGGACTGAGGTGGAGTGAGTATATAACTCCTGAGCTGCTGCTGATACTTAAAGAAGTGTTTTTTACAATTATCTGCAAGGTGAAATTATTGATTTTGTCACTAGAGTCGGGTCAGATGTACAGCCCATTGTTTTGGTCTGAGATGCTGGTGTGCTTTAGTGCAACATCTAGTGGCCAGTGAAATTCTTTTACCTAACCTTTAAAATCAATAGTATATCTTTCAAATGAAGATTCATAAGAAATGTGCATGGCATATGTAACTACGTTTTCCTCAGAAATGTTGTTGTTTTTATAATCCACCATTCATATTTTTGTTGTTAAAATGTTTTAGTTTTTGTATCAGTTCAACATATTCAATCAAAATATTGGAGCCAGCTCTGTAGTATGTGCCAAATATAAATACCTCATATCTAAGTGTCCTCTCACTGTGTAAAAGCCCTCTGTCAAGCTTTCCTAATAGATGGAACTCATGCTGCTTTGGATCAGCAGAATATAAAGATTTCATATATATGGAGTCATCTCTGCTCTCCAGCTCTATCACATAAGTGGGGGAAAATATAAGACTACTCTTAAAACCAGTAAGAGATGAATTCCAGTACAGCCTTGTTTAAATAGTGTATTCAACTCTTCAACTCTATTCCTCTACTGCTTCATTCTCTTTTAAAAAATTCCATTACACTACTAATGTTTTTTTAATCAAGTCTGACAAATTTATCGGCCAGAGATTTCATAAGCTTTTTCATATCGCTGAAGATAATCAGAATCACACTGAGCTGCAATGTGCAAAGATACAGTAGGCCACTGGAAAAGATTATATTCTCCTCTGTTTAATGTTTTGAGAGATAAAATCAGTTCAGTCAGTCAGTCACACTTAACCATCACTATACCCAGTATGTCTGCTGCATCATCACATTAAATCACCTGTCTGTATGTGCACATTATTAAACTGCTTACAATCAAACTTTTTATTCCTCAGTGAGATTGGTACATTATTAATAATTCTATACCCTCTGCTTCCCTTGCCCCTCCATGTAAAAAAAATACATGAAGGAAATTAGTTTCATTTATTACAGCTTCACTAATCAATATTTTATATGAACAATGGATCAAATTTCTGCCTGCAATATGAAATGGGTCATGTACAGATTTTTTAGCATGGTTTAGCTCATTGTTTTGATTTTGTTTTTGGTTAGCCCACTACTGTACCATTTTGATTCAGTCTCTGTCTTCTCATCAACATGTTTTCAGCAGCAGAAGCAAACGGCTGTTTTTAAGCTCTAAAAGACCCACGGCACACCCACGGGGCACTCCAGTGGACCAAACGGCAGACAGACACAGTTAGCAGCTAGCTGGTGAATATAGTGGAGCATTAAGCAACTAAAGAGGCAGATATTTTTCTCAGGAGTTGGTGGAAACAGTGCTAAACGGAGAGTGAATATTGGACATATATTCATGAGCTGGTCAGAAATACAGTCACAGGTGATTATTTGCTGTACAGGCAAAAAACTGTGATTTTCAGGTTGTTGTTAAGGTCTGCTCCGAATGGCCCAAAACAAACACAAAACAGATTAGTGAAGATTTAGAAGAATAAATTAAAAATGATTGACTTTACTGTCCCCAGTGCTAGCGTTAAAACAGGGTGGCAAGTCTCTCAACACAAATTTTGCACTCAACTGAATAGACTGAAAATAACACACGACCCAAAAAATTCCTATTTTTTCACAGAAAAAAATGTCCAACAAAACCGTGCCATCACAAAAAAATGTGTAGCAGCTACCTGTCGTCCGAATGATTGCCTCATGTATGCCATGCAGATTTCCCTCAATCCAACATGGTGGACCAAAGTAGACACGTCCCAGTCCAGGCTGCACCACCTTTGCAGCACTCGGCTTATAAAGGCGGGTCCTTCAGAGGACCAAAGGCTAGAAGACTAAAGCTGTACCTCTACATAAATGAGACGATCAGTTAACACAGTCAACAATGTTTCCAACACCCATTTGAAGCTACTAGACTAAATATGAAGAAGTTTGATACTGTATTTTGTCGACCTCATTTCTTGAAGGCTTCAGACTGGGCTGGTCTTGGCAACCTGTTATAACATGTTTATCTTAAAGCAGTGGTTCCCAACCTTTTTCCATAAGGGACCCCTATGTGCCTAAGTCACATATTTTATTGATATTTCATATTAAATTCAATCAGGATTATTTCCTGTGAATAATGCATCAAAGATAAATGAAATATAGACATATAATTTTTTAAGAACTTTTTATACAATTCTCTGTCTGTATTACATTTTTTTGTTTTGTTTTTAACAAGCATACATATGTAATAGGCTTTTTTCGTAACAAATTCAGTGTTTACTTGACACTTGGGCATTGTTCTTTTCTAATGCAGGACGAGGCTGTTTATCAGAGAGTGAAGGCTCTGTGAATATTGCTTGTGTTCAGTTCTTCAAAGTTTGGAGCCTGCGTTGGGATATAGTTCATGTAAAATACAAGCAGCTAAAGGCTGACAGTATTCTCAGTGGCAGTGCCATTTGCTTACATTATGTACACTGACATTGGTGTATGATGTGGTAATGATATACTGATGTTGAAATGATACATGTAGAATCTTCAATAAAAAACAAGCACACTTTCATTTTCAAAGTTGAACTTGGTTAATTAAGTTTTCACATCTTAGCTGTGAATTGACACACAACTCCTTTAATCTCCATCATGTATTCAGAGGGAACCAGATATCATCACCACAAATGCACCATGGGACTGTACAGAAAATCTGACGTGCAACTAATAGCTTTGATGAGGAGGCAGTGCTCCGTGAGACATGGGTGTTGCTGTTCACACTGACACTGTGGAGAATTCACGCTTCCAGCTGACTGCTGTGAAAATGAGTGGCAAAGATTGAGTAAATCAAAAGGTTTCATGTAAACATCTCAGGGCTTCAGATACAGTACAGTGGAGCCTAGATAAACAGCAACTGATAAACAAATGTCTGTATCTGGTATCAGATATATCTCCTTTACTGCTCTGCACTGTTACTCTATTTATACACTAATACAATACCTTGTTGCTTTTAGGTATAAATTAACATATACTATAACATTATTCCTGCTGTAATAAAACCACAGACAGGAGTTTAAAGCAACAGGGCATTCTTGAATTCTTGAATGTTAGGTGTTTTTCAAATTTATGTTGGTGACCTCAAGTTTTATTTTGAGTACTGACTGTTGTGAAGTTTTGTACTTTCATGGTTCCCTGAAGACAAACCCTGCTGACATTGGTCATCAAACGCCAGCATGAGGTCTGTGTTTTTGAGTAAAATCTCTCGACAACTATTGGATGGATATCCACAACAGTTGGTTCGGCCACTAACGGTCCTCTTAGTATAAACTG